CAGCTGTGTGGCTTGTGGCCCAGAGCCACAAGCAGAGCCCCCCTGACCTGGGAGTGCCTCGGGGTCTGGAGGGGGTCCTCAGCAGGGGCATTTGCACAGTTGCTGCCCCTCCAAGGAGTGCCCAGGCAGTGCCACGTGGTCCAGAGAGATTTAGCCCAGGGGGGCCAGAGCCATAGGAGGCAGGCAGGCGCTGCTTCCTGCAGGGTGAGGGCCGCACAGTCGCCTCCACAGCCACCGGCAGGAAGGCATGAGGCCCTGCGTGGGGGGTGGATGGCACATGCGCCCAGGGTTGCTCTGACAGGTCCTCCTCGGGTGGGAAGCGAGGACCGCATCGTGTTCAGAGGTGTGAATCAGCGTCAGGCATTCTTGGTGCCTGACATGCTTTCCTGTAAGCCCGAGGCTGTCTGGGAGAGCTGGGAGCCGACGCTCAGCCTCTCTCTGCAGCTCCCCTGCCAGGGGCAGCTCCCCAGACGCCACCTCTTCTTCCAGGCCCTGCCCCAGGGGGACTCAAGGAACCCCCAAAATCAACCCGTAGGTGGATGACCCGGAAGTCCCGTGGAAACCAGGAGCCCACGCCAGGCAGCTTCGACCTCATTTTGGAGGTTCCGGCTGAGCTGAGCCGGCAGCTAACCCAGCCCACAGGCCCTGCAGTGCCCAGAAGGCCAGCTCCAGGTCCTCCCAGGTGGTCCCCAGCCTCCACGCACTGCTTGGGGGGTGCTCCTTTCCTGGCAGGGGCCCGGGGCTAGATGGGGCGGAAGGAAGGCCAGGGTCTCTGATGAAGGAGAGAAGACTTTCGTGGTCAATGAGAGGAAAAAAAAGAGACAAAAAGATGTTGTTGGTGCTGCCTGGAGGATCCAGCCAACTTCTATTTCTAACAAATGAAGGACGAGAAAAGGCTTAATCAGCTAATGGATACAGGCTGGGCCGCCAACTCGGTGTGAGGGGCCAGGGATCAACGGCTTCCGTGTTTGAAATTTAAATCAGCCGCGAAGGTGCCAGTCTGCCAGGGAGAAGCCAAGCCATGACCTCAGAGCGGCTCACAGTGCCCGCCCTGCAGGCGGGGCAGGGCGGTGGGACGAGCGGGCTGGGGGCCACATGGGGGGACGGGGGCAGGGGCAGGGGCAGGGCAGGGAGCTTCTTCCCGGGTCCTCCCGAATCTGCAGCTCAGGCAGCCGTAGACAAGGGCAGGATGGGCGGGGACGCCAGGCGGGGGCCTCCAGGAGGCACTGGGAGAAGGCCCCAGGGCGGGAGTGGAGCCTGTGAGGTCCTCCTCAGGATGGGTGCTCCGAGGGCCGAGGCTGTTAGCGGCAGTTTCACTGATGTCTGCCCAAGGCTGGCGCCGTCCAGCTGCGGTGCATTAGAAGCCTCAGCAGTGAGAAGACCACTATCCCCAAGTCGGGAACAGAAACCCACCTTCAGGGAGGGAAGCCAAGAATCCTCCCAGGGCGCCCCAGCAGCAGGTGGGGAGCTGGTGGGAAAGGGGCTTCATGGGGAAACAGCCCAGCCTGCCCCGGGTGGTGGGTGCCTGTGTGCATGAAGTTACCAGAACCCAGAAGTAGATACCTAGTTCGTGCATTTTAGTAGAAGCTAATTAACCTCAGCTATGCACATGTACATAAAATTCTCAGAACCAAACTTCCACCCGTTGTCTCTGGAGGCAAATCCAGGAGCCCCCCACTCCCCCGTGGCCCCCGGGTGCTGCTTGCACACTGCTCCCCACTGGAGGGCACAGGTGAGCTCCCGGGCCCAGGGAGGTGGACTTGGGAAGTACCCGTCCAGCAAAGGCAGTGCCCGGCTGTTACTGTGCACGTCTGCAGGGGGCCAGCTGGGACACTGCGCAGGGCCTCTAACAGCCGTGGCAGGGATTCTGCTTTCCGGAGCAGGCCGCCCTTTGGGGCCCACTTGAGAATGCTGGGGTTCTTTGTTCCCTGAGGAGACAGGAGGGGCACAGTGGTGTACACTGCACGTGGGGCAGGGACATGGCGCTGCTTCGTGGGGCGGGGTCATCCTCAGACGTGCTTAAGGTTTAGCAGGCATTTTCTGCAGAGTCTACCAACCTAATCAAACTCGGAGGGGCTTTAAATTATTCTTATATGAGGTAGGAGCTAAAACAGCAAAACCTGAACCAACAACGACCAGAAATGCCATCACCAGAGGCAGGAGCCCGGCCGACTCCTCATCCTGCGGGCATCAGGGCCCGGCCCACTGTCCAGGCAGGCGCTCCGGGTGGACCAGCAGGAATACAGTCAGGACGGGGAGGAGGGCGGCCAGAACACCCACCGCCTCTCTTCCCCTTCGCCGTCCTGCAGGGACACAGGAGTGGGACGTCGCTCCAGGTGGGAGCCGCCGCTGTCAGTCTGGCATTTTAGCACAGGTGGCTCTGCAGGGGGAGATCTGGCCGGTGAGGAGACCCCGGCAGAGCTGGATAAACGGAAGCACAGCTGTGCAGCCGCTGCTGGCCTTTGCATTGGTGGGAACAAGCAAACTGGAAAGGCATCGACAGGCCCTTCGAAGGCCCCCAGCCCAGCAGTTGGAAAGTGGTCCCAGCTGAAACCTCTGGGCTGTGACAAACAGAACGGGCGAGGGCTGGAAGCCTCAGCAGCCACTAAAATGAGGCAAAATCAGGATCGTTGAGATAAAAAGCAAGGGATACCGCTGAGTTCCAGAGACACACAGGGCAGAGGCCAGGAGGCGCTTCCTGGGAGCCGGTCACAGACCAGATGCAGCTACAGAGCAGACCCCCGACCCGGAGGCCAAAGCGGAGACTCACTCCCCCAAAGGGAGAGTAAGAGCCCACTCAAGTAAGGGGTCTAGACATTTTTGAGGAATAAACAAAAACATTTGAATGGAAAAAAAAATAACTGAAGACATAAGTGGAGATGTTTTCTTCCAGCCTTGGAGGATCTGTTGACGCAGATGGGAACTCGCGCTGTGCTGCTTTAATGAGTCAAAGCAAAGAAACACAGACCCAGGCTGGGAATGCATTTGAATCACACAAATTTTGGAAACATCCTACGTGTGTCTAATACACACACGCACACACACACACACACACACACACGGAAAAAGAGTTTACCAACAGAAACCAAAGCTGACCTGTCCTCAGTCCCCCACCCCCTGCCCCACCCCAGGGTGTCTCTGTGCAGGGAGAAAGAAAAGGGGTCCCGGGGGTTCGAGTGAAGCCTCCCCTCTGTAAGCCTGCTTCCTCCTTTGCAAGATGGAGCTAGTTACAGCCCCTACCCATGATGCTGGTGGAAGACGAAGTAAGTTCCTGCCTGCGGAGACCCTGGCACTGCCCCAAGTGGGGTCAGGCACTGTATTAATATGTTGTTATCATTGGCATGTGTGATGCCACAGAAAGACGACTTTCGCAACCCAAGAGCTTGATGTCCTCTCCAGCACTAAGGACGTTCCATCCAGTGCTGGCATCAGATGGGGCCTTTTATATTTCAAGAATGCCCAACTCAAATCAGCTTAAACATTAATTTGTGGATTAATATTGACTCACAACTAGAAAATCCGGAGGAAACCAGGCTTCAGGTACAATATGATCAGGGTTCCAGTAATATTTGTCGACAAATTTCTGCTGTGCTGTACTCCACCCCTCTGTCTTATCCTTAGGGTTGCTTCCCTCCTGGTATCAAAGTAGCTGTAGTAGCCGGGCGCAGTGGCTCATGCCTGTAATCCCAGCACTTTGGGAGGCTGAGGCAGGTGGATCACTTGAGATCAGGAGTTCGAGACCAGCTGGCCAACATGGTACAACCCGGCTCTACTAAAAATACAAACCTTAGCCCGATGTGGTAGCGTGCACTTGTAATCTCAGCTGCTCAGGAGGCTGAGACAGGAGAATCGCTTGAACCTGGGAGGTGGAGGTTGCAGTGAGCCAAGATCGTGCCACTACACTCCAGCGTGGGGGACACAGCAAGACTCTCTCAAAAAAAGGAAAAAAATTAGCTGCAGTGGGACAGGACGAGCTTCCACCCTAGACTTCCCAATGAAGACCAGGAAACTGCCCTGGTGGTTAAAGTGCCACTCCCCAGGAAGCTAAGATCACCGCGGAGGCTGTGCTCAGAGTATCAGGGCGCCCTTCAGCAGGTGCAGGCCCAGCGCTACTGGGGAAGTCGCTGAACCCTGAGGATAGATAGTTGGCCTGCAGACCCAGTCTCCATGCAGCCCCTCCCCCAGAAGGAACCAGGCGTCCGGCTGGTCACAAGCCGCAGTGACTTCAGGCTGGCCAGGGCCTTGCCTTCTCCAGCACCTACACCAGCCTCTGTGCTTTCCAGGGTGGCGAGCCATCCTCCAACTCATCCTTCACCCCAGAGTTCACGTGTCCTACTGTCTGTGACAGCAGCCGCTGAGGCTGCTCTGTCTGTGTGTACCTAAGAGCTGGCCTTTGACTTTTGGCACAGCTGTGTGGTTCATGCTAGGGAAACTTTTACCTGTTCTCCCTGGAAGGAAAGCCGCAGGGACCCACGCAAGACTTGCACCCTTGCTGCTGTCCTCTGCTGTTGCTTCCTTCTTTCACACGATAGAAAATAAACTGTCTCTTTCATGTACTTTGTAGAAACAACAAATCAGGGTCCAAAGAGCCCCAGGATGGTCGACGGGAAGGGGACGCTTCGACCTCGGGGAGCAGGAGGTTGGGCCCAGAGAGAGTAAATCATGTTCTCAAGGTCACAGGCAGCAGTTCATAGAACCAGATCTCACCCAAAACAAATTCCATTAACAGACCTTTGAGCAAAGAGCGATTTCGAGTGATTTCATGAATCACGATGCACCTGCACACTCTGCTTTTCTCTAATTGGAATGAGGAGGGAAGTGTGTGCTTTTGAAGAGGGCGTCTGTCTGGGAACGCTGCACATTCGTTTTGACAGGAACAAGGCAGGCAAAACAATCTGATTAGTGATCCTCCGGGAGCCGCGATCCGATTAGACCTCTGGGCGCCCGTGCTGGCTGCCCTGGACGGAGGTGGCTGGAGACAGCAGAGCAGGCGGAATCAGGTCTGGTTTATGTTGAGGACTAAGATGTCTCTCTGGGGACGCTTGCCAGTTTCTTCTTGGACTTGGCAGCTTTGTTAACCTGGCAACTGGAGCAAGAGAGAGGCCCATTTGAAAAATTAAAGACATGACGAAGGAAAAAAGGTCTCTGGAAATTTCCATCTGAGTGCTGGAGACCAAATCTGTCCCCGCCGCCCCCATGAGGACAGCAACTCGGTTGCTATCTTCCTGCCAAGAAGCTCAGCAGGGTGCGCTTCTACTCAGCCTGCTGGGGAAAAGTCGGCTATTAGCAGTGTTATTTTTTAAACATGAGACACATTCTAAGAGAATTCAGAGAACACATTTGTCTTAAAAATTATGACTTATTCAGTGCAAGCTGTTTGCTGTGTAACAAGATTGTGTGAAATGAAATCGGCTCCGTGACAGTGCTTCTGTTGCCGTGTGCTAGTGTAGATGGTCTGTGTTTACAGCCTTGAGAGTTTATCGTTTTAAGCTCCAGAAAGAACCCACACACTTCCATGGTGAATGCGAAAGGCTGTGCTGTGCTCCCCCTGTAACACCAACAATTCACAGATTTTACTCCAAAGCCGCATTTCTAACTCTGGGATTCCCACGTGCTTCCCCGCCCCGGCTTCACTTTATTGGGAACACAAATTAACTGCACACATTTAAAGTGTACAATATGGCATGTAGGCACTTGTGAAAGTGTTGCTAAAATCTAGATCATGAACATATTCACCCCAAATCCTCCCCCTCGGCTTCTCTTACTCTGCTCCCCTGTCCCCAGGTAACTGTCGGTCTGTTTCCAGAGCTGTGGATGGATCCCCACCTTCTAGAGTTGTGTAGAAATGGACTCAGGAGGCCAGGCACAGTGGCTCACGCCTGTCATCCCAGCACTTTGGGAGGCCAAGGCAGATGAATCACCTGAGGTCAGGAGTTCGAGACCAGCCTGGCCAACATGGTGAAACCCTGTCTCTACTAAAAATACAAAAATTACCCAGGTGTGGTGGTTCATGACTGTAATCCCAGATACTCGGGAGGCTGAGACAGAAGAATCACTTGAACCCAGGAGGTGGAGGTTGCAATGAGCCGAGATCGCACTATCGCACTCCAGCCTGGGAGACAGAGCAAGACTCAGTCTCAAATAAAGTAAAAAAAAAAAGATGGACTCAGGCAGCACACACTGTTGAACCCATGTATACATGTACATCTAAAATACTTCCCTAGGTAACCATCGAAATCCATATTAGACTAAACATCAGTTCATACCAAGGTCTCCCACTCAAACCTGGCTCCGTGGAGTCATCCCAGCTGCCTCCTCTTGCGTCTGTGACCTCCTAATAGTGAGAAACCTGCCCCCTACCATCTGCTATCCATGTATGTGATTGCTCAATTTCAGTATATATGTGCTATGGTTTGAATGTGTTCCCCAAAGGTTCATATGTTGAAACTTGGCCCCAAGTGAAGCAGTGTTGAGAGGCAGGAACTTTGGGAGGTGATTGGATTAATTGATTCATGGATTAATGGGTCGTGCAGGTAGTGGGTTCGTTCTCACAAGAATGGGTCTGCTGTAAAAGTGAGTTTGGCAACTCTTGTAAGCCTCTTCACCATCTGATGGCCTGTACCACCTGGGACTCTCCAGAGAGTCCCCAGCAGCAAAAAGGCCCTCACCAGATGCAGCCCCCTGAACTCGGACCTCCCAGCTTCCAGAATGCTGAGAAATGGATTTCTTTATAAAGTACCTGGTCTTAGGCATTCGGTTACAGCAACCGAGAACAGACGAAGACAACATTATGGTAGTGTTAGAACTGCCAACTGACACCTCGCCGGCAGGCAGCTTTATCTACTAGAGTCTAGCGCTCAGGCACTGCCCCCTCGCCTTTACTCCTGCAGACTCCACTCATTCTGAATGAGGTCAGGGCCTTTTCCCTACTCCCTCCATGAGGATGTTTCATGCATTTGTAATGCAGTTAGATGTTTTTTTCACTTTCTGGATTCTATCCTGATGCCCCTGAACTTCCTAAATGATTTTTAAATTTGCGTGCAATGAGGCGTACTCTTTTTACTGTAAAGTTTCACAGGTTTTTGATGTTTATAAGATCACATATCCACCAATACACTATCATACAGAATACTTTAACTGCCCTAAATCATCTCCTGTGCTTTCCTATTCAGTCCCCCAAATTCACGACAAGCACTGATCCTTTCACCAGCGTAATGGTCTTGCTTCTCCAGAAAGTCACATCACTGGGGCTATACAGCATGAGGTGTTTTCAGCATGACTTCTCTCACTGAACCTTCTGCATTTAAGATTTATCAGGAATGTGTTTCTGTATCTATCGACCATACGGTTTTCCTTTATGTCTATTGTGGTGAATTCCGTTGATTGATTCTCCACTGTTAAACCAACCTCACACTCTTGGCATAAACACCAATAGGTCACGATGTAATTTCTTTTCTATATGTTGTTGGGCATAATTTGCTAACATTTTAGTTGGGAATTTTTGCATCTACATTCAACCAAGGACAGAGCAGGGTGAAATATTTAAAGCGTTGAAAGAAGAAAACCCACCAACTTAGAGTTCTGTATCCAGTAATATTATTCTTCAGTGTGAGGGAAAAATAAAAACTTTCTCAGACAAATAAAAATGGAGAGAATTAATCACCAGCAGACATTCTCTATAAGAAACATTAAAAGAAGTTCTTTAGGAAGAAGGAAATTATATAGGCCAGAAACTTGAATCTACATAAAGAAACTAAGTGTTTGAGAATGAATAAATATAAAATCCTTTCCCCCTTATTCTCAGTTGATCTAAAATACAGCTATTTATTGAAAGTAATAATTGTAACGATATTGGGTGATTACAGCATATAGGTAAGAAAACAGATGGCAGCAATGTGGTAAGGGATGGGAGAGATCAGGAATATTCTGTTGAAGGTACTTGTAGTGGGTGTGGAGCAACACAGCATTATGTGAGAGTGAACTTAGATTCGTTGTAAGTGTATATTGCAAACTGTAGGAAAACAACTTACATTTTTTTTTCTGAGACGGAGCCTTGCTCTGTCACCCAGGCTGGAGTGCAGTGGCACCATCTCGCCTCACTGCAACCTCCGCTTCCCAGGTTCTTGCAATTCTCCTGCCTCAGCCTCCCGAGTAGCCGGGATTGCGGGCACACACTGCTACGCCCGGCTAATTTTTTGTAGTGTAGTAGAGACAGGGTTTCACCATGTGGCCTCGGCTGGTCTCAAACTCCTGAGCTCAGGCAATCCACCCACCTCGGCCTCCCTAAGTGCTAGGATTACAGGTGTGAACCACTGTGCCCAGACATAACTTAAATTTTTTTAAGAAAAATTGATATGTAAAGAGAAGAAACATATAAGATGGAATATATATAGAATCATTTAAGATGCTCAGTTAAAACCAGAGAAGGCAGAAAAAGAATCTCAAATTTTGCTTTCATCTTCAATCAGTTTAAAATACTTTCTGATTTCCCTGTTCATCATTTCTTTGACTGGTGGGTTATTTAGATATCTGTTTTCAGTCTAAATATTTGGAGATTATTCAGAAATCTTTGTATTAATATTAATAGCTGACATATTAATATTAATAGCTGATATATTTCCAATGTTCCAGAGAACGTACTCTGATGCAATGAATCCTTCAAATTTATTGGGAATTGTTTTATGACCCAGAATACAGCCTATTTTGGTAAATTGTCTGCAGATGAAAATAATGTGTATTCTCCTGTTGTTGGGTGACATGATCGATAAATATTAATTTGACTGATAGTATCATTCAAGTGTTGTCTGCCTTTAATAGGGTGTCTGTCAGTTTGTTCTATCAGTTATTGAAATAGGGTGTTGAAATCTATGACTGTAATTGTTGATTTGTCCACTTCTCCTTACTTTCTAGCTGTTTTTGCTTCTTGTATTTTGAAGCTTTACTATTAGGTGTGTACATGGTTAGGGTTAAGTTCTCTTGATGAATTGATCCTTTTATTATTATAAAATAATCCTCTTTATTTCTTACAATGTTCTTATCTGATATCTACTTTGATATTGTAATAGCCACTCTGGCTGTCTTTTGAATAGTGTGATGGTATTTATTTTTCCATCTTTTTATTTTAAACCAATTTGTATATTTATACTTAAAATGTTTTCCCCTGTCAGCAACATAAGGTTGAGTCTGGCTTTCTTATCTAATTATATAATTTCTGCCCCAGTTGAAATGTTTGGGCCATTAGAACATAATTATGATTATTAATATGATTGAGTTTAAATCTACATCTTACTATTCACCTTGTATTTGTTCCATCTGTTATTTTTTCCTTTTTCTGCCTTCTTTTGCATTGTGTTTTTAATTTCACTTATACTCCTTTTTGGCTTATTAGCTATAATTCTTGTTTTTTCTTTTATTTGCAGTTTTAAGATAAAGAGCATACTTCTTTAATGAACACAGTAATGTTATATTACAATAGCGTATTTTCACTCTCCCTCACAGCTTTTTTGCTGTTGTCAAACATTTTAAAACCTCTCACACTTTTTACTTATTTTTGAGACAAGGTCTTTGTTACACCGTCATCCAGGCTGGAGTGTGGTACAATGGCACAATCATGGCTCACTGCCACCCTGACCTCCTGGCACAAGAAATTCTCCCACCTCAACCTCCCAAGTAGATGGAACTATGGCATATGCCACCATGCCCAGCTAATTTTTGGTATTTTTTGTAGAAATGGGGTTTCATTATATTGATCAGGCTTGTCTTGAGCTCCTGAGCTCAAGCCTGCCCACCTCAGCCTCCCAAAGTCCTGGGATCACAAGTGTGAGCCACTGTACCTGGCCAGCCTCACACATTTTTAAACCTCACAGTACATCATTAAGTTTTTTCTTTTTGTTTTAAGAAATTGTTTATCTTTTAAAGAGATTTTAAAAGTAAGCTTTTAATATGTATCCATATATTTTCCATTTCCAGTACTTCTTATTCCTTTGTGCAGACTCAGATTCTCCTTCTGTCTGAGGACTGCCTTTGACATTTCATATGACATTTGTCCACTGTGGATGATGTTTTTCAGTCTTCGGATGTATAAAAAAGTCTGTTTCACCCGCATTTTTAAAAGATGCGTTTCTCGGGGTTAGAATTCTAACACTTTTTAAAAACCTCTCGCGACTTTAAAGAGGTGGCATGGTCTCCTACTGGCATCGTTTCCAACCAGAAATCCGTCCTCATCCTTTTCTTCATCGTTCCTTTGTATGTGAAGTTCTCCCTCCCTCTGGCTGGTTCTTAGAAATTTCTCTTTAACACAAGTTTTGAGCAGTTTGATTATAATGTGACTTGGTGTTGTTTTCTTAATATTTCTTGTGCTTGGGGTTTATTGAGATTCTTGGATTTGTGGGTTTACCTTGTTCAAATCCTTGTTTTACAACTTAAAGTGCTCCAATATGTGTGCAATTAAGATCCCTTCAACTTTGAGGACCTTAATTACAGACATATTAGGGTACTTTATGCCTTCCCGTAGCTGACTGATAGTCTGTTCATTTACAGGTACTTTTTCTGTGTGTTTTATTTTGTGCAGTCTCTGTTGCCATTGCTGTGCCTTCAAGTTCCCTCATCTTTTCTCCTTCAGTTCTGACCTGCAGGTGTCCCGTCCAGTGCACTCTTCACCTCGTTTTCGTCTCTAGAGTTTAATTTGGGTTCTTTTTGAATCTTCAATGTGTCCCCTCCCAATATCCACTCTTTGCTTTACCATTTTGAACATAAAAATATAGTTATAATAATTGTTTTTATGTCCTTTTCTACTAAATCTACCTTCTTTGCCATTTCTAGATCTGTTTCTATGGATTAATTTATATCCTCATTTTGGGTTACATTTTTTTAATGCATGCCTACTAATTCTGGATTGGATGCCAGACACTATGGGTTTACTTTGTCAAATAACTGGCATTTCTGTCTTCCAAAAAATATTCCTGAGCTTGTTCTGGAATGCAATTAAGTTACATGGAAACACTTGGTTTCTCCCATGGCTCCCTCTGAACTTCCCAGCAAGGTCAGAACAGTTTTCAGCCCAGCAGGAGGCTGTGCCCCTACTGAGGCAAAGTCTGTCAAGTGCTCCACTCCTCGTCACAGGGGCCATGAGATCTTCGCTCCGACTGGTGGGAGCAGCCAGCATTCCTGGCTTTGCAGGAGCTCCAGAGGTCATGCCTTCTTCTCTTTTCTGACGGTCTTTCCCTGGCCTTGCGCGTTTGCCTCTCACACCTGTGCCGATCCATACACACCCAGATCCCGGAGCAGGACCTTCGTGGACTTTTGGAATCTGTAAGTACAGCTCCTTTCTCTCTGGACTGTGTCCCGTGATTTCTGGCCATCCTTGCCTTGCAGGCTCTCAGCTTTGTTTCCTCAGCTGCAGGAAACTGTGGTTCTGCCTGGATTATTTCCCCATGCTGCATCCTGGAAACTCTCTCCCGGTCATGAGCTCTGGCAGCTCTAGGTCTCAACCTGTGTGCTTCACGTACTCAGGGAGCACCGCACCACGCCGCCAAAGACCAGGGGCTGAAACCTTTTGTTTCACGTATTTGCGTATTTTTAGCTGTTTCACGGGGGAGAGCGGGTCTAGGTTCCACTGCTCCACGCGTGCCGCAGTGCGTGTTTTCAGAACCAGACTTCTGAAAAACTTCCCGGAGACCGTTGTAAACATTAAGCAGTCACTTCCGATGCATGTGTGGTGAATGTGTGTGGTACCGTGTCAGTGTGATGTGCACGTGTGGTGAGTGTTGTGTGTGTATCATTTTCCACAAAAATGGCTTTTGGTTCAGGCCTGAGCTCTCTGACTGACAATGGTCTTAAAATTAAGAGGAGAGCCTGTGGAGTCAGTGTGCATTCCTGGGAGTCTTACCCTTTGCTGTAAAGGTTCCCACCCTCACTTCTTATTCCTTTTTTTTTTTTTTTTTTGAGATGTAGTCTCACTCTGGAGACTACATCTGGAGTGCAGTGGCATGATCTTAGCTCACTGCAACCTCTGCCTCCCGGGTTCAAGAGATTCTCCTATCTCAGCCTCCCAAATAGCTGGGACTACAGGTGCACACCACCACGACTGGCTAATTTTTGTATTTTTAGTAGAGACAGGGTTTCACCATGTTGGCCAGGCTGGTCTCGAACTCTGGGCCTCAGGTGATCCGCCCGCCTCGGCCTCCCAATTTGCTGGGATGAAAGGTGTGAACCATCATGCCTGGCCTCACCCTCACTTCTCATACAGGGTTCAGCACTTGTAGCTGGAACCCACTAGGCCAGCAGTGGGAACACTGGGGGACGCTCCAGGCTCTGGACCTGCCATGTATAATCCTGGTTCAAAAGAAGGACAAACACGACACTATTCTAACTCGACAGAAACTGACTGATGCTAAGCGAAAAGCATGGCAAGCTATGACCGCAGAATACCCAGAGATTTACTTTACACTTTGGCAAGTGTTTTTGGCGCGCCTTTCACGGCCATTACTGATTCCTGTTTTACTTTCGTCACGGTTGTCTGAAGGCATTCGCCCCGAGCTGTGTGTTGTTCAGACCGCTTGTTTCTCTCGTCTTCTCACTAAGACTCGGTGACATTTGCTCTCTCCAAGTGCACGCCAGCAGAAAATACTGTGGTCCACACAGCGGGGAAGTGGATTAGGCTCAGTGGCTTATTCTTGCTCCTTCCTTTCTTCCCT